CATACGGATCTTCGTGGCAATGGAGAAAGCGCCTTCCGGAGGACAGAGAAAACCCGACAGCATTGATTCGGGAGAAAATTGCATCCTTACTCTGTCCATTCGGTAGCAGCCTCGCCCCGAGGTATTTAAAGCTGTCTACTTTTCTTCAAGTTGACGGCCATTAATCCCTAGGGGTGCCTTGTCCTGGTCAGGGATGCCGTTCGAGGATAATTTGGTTTCCCCGGCATTTATGGACAAGCCAACAGACGCAGCGTTCTCATTTACCCATGACACTGCAGATTGTAGACCGCCAAAGCTTTAAGCTAGTAAAGTGATATCATACGGTGGTTAGTGACACTGTTACCTCTTCTTGTGATTTCAGTGAACAATCAAGTAATAACTGAGATTCGTTTTTTTTATAGTAGTCCTTCCTGTCTTTCCACGGCGTGCTCTTTTTGTAGTTTCTCATTGAAAAAACCGATGGTGGTCTCGATTACACCTTTGAGTGCGTTGGCAATGTGAAAGTAATGCGCGACGCTCTGGAATCCTGCCACAAAGGTTGGGGCGTCTCAACAATTGTGGGCGTTGCCGCGGCCGGACAGGAGATCTCAACTCGACCCTTCCAGCTGGTTACTGGACGCGTGTGGAAGGGTTCTGCCTTTGGTGGTAAGTTCATTTGTTTTCCCAAAACGCGTGTATGTTTTACACGTGGAATACGCGTTGTCGTAACCAGAATAGATAGAACCGCACGATTCAGTAAGTATGAGTCAAACAGACGAGGATTTAGAATTAACGAACACCCTACCATCATCTTACAATTGGCGTATTAGTACTGACAAGGAGATGGATCGTGGTCAGGGTAATGTAGACAGTTATTGAACGTTCGTTAGGGGAGAGGGCTGAACGTTCGTCAACGAGGGTCAGAGGAATGTTAGCATGACACGCGTACAGCACGCAAAGTCACAGCCTGCTTGCGGCTGCAGCATGATCTAGAACCGCAGTTGTACTGTATTGGATGGCAAATTTAAAAGTCATAAATATTAAACTGTTCCTTGTTTTTGGCGCTGGTTTATCCGGATTCTCGGTTGACTGCATCACGTACAAACGTGAAAGCTAAATTAATCACTAGACTGAAACTTGGGAATTTTCATCGCTAACCATCCCAGACGAAAACAATGCTGGGCTATGCTTACCCTGCCTTTTAAGACCCGAGTCAAACCCATGAACTACACTTTTTTAAAATCCTCTAACTCTGGTGCTTTCAACCTTGTGGTTAACTGCTTTCAATTCGCGGCTCTCTTTTAGGCTGGAAGTCGCGTGATTGTGTACCCCAGCTGGTTGAAAAATGTATGTCGGGGAAGCTGAAGGTGCGGGAATTTATCACCGACACAATTCCACTGGACCAAGTGAACACCGGTTTTGAGTGGTTGCACAGCGGTAAAAGGTACGTCCTGTTCACGACTGGCATTTTCTTCACTGACTTTTATCCACCGCCCAAGCAAGTCAGCGGCCACAACCGCCGTATAAGGACAAAAGATGCCAAAGCACCAGAAGGGTTTATAGCAATGTTTATTTAGGCAAACTAATAGGTTTGGATTCGGGTTGGGCTATTTTTGTTTCACTTTTTTTATTCGGATGAATAACCCCGATGATAGTAAAAGTCGATACCCTCGTGGCCGAGTATCGCTGCTTTTGCTACACAGGGGCAGTCGATGTTTCTACTCGGGACAGTTGGCGTCAACTTCTAAAAGAATTCTTGATGGTGTGCGTATATGTTTTGCAGGTGGGTACTTACTTGTACTTGTTACGGCTGTGATCATGCCTGATCTAGCCTGCCTCAATGA